ATATATATATATATTTAAGATATGAAACATTAATTCTTAATTACATTTATTCCTTTCATGAATAAAGTTTGTTGGGAACAAAGCATTTGATTTATATATTTAAATAATTGCATTACATTAAATTTACAGTTATTTGGATCTATTATATTTTGGAAATAGTTTGAAATTATTAGCAAAACATTGCATGATTCAAGAAACTTTACTGTACAATAGATAAATACAATTTTATAATCTTTTTCCATAGTTAATTTCAATTAAAAGTTACAATATATTTATGTTTTAAATTATTATTTATAATAAAATAGTTTATAACATTTCTATCATTGTGTTCATAAAACTTAACTCTAATGTGAAAAAACATTTACGTTAAATTACATCCAATATTGGATATAAAATGTCTTCTATGTAGATTGTTGAATTGGACAGACTTCGAGGGATCACAACGCATAATACTGTTTTGTTTCATATATATATATTTTTGTGCTATTGAAAAGGAAGAAATAGAAAAAGATAAAACGTTTAAATTCAAATCATAACATTAAATTTCAAATATCAATAAGAAAAATTATTTTATATTTTTCATTATTATTTCTACTTTCTTCCCTTTCTGGATGCTACAAAATTAAACTAGTTACGATTAAAACGATTATTAAAACTTAAAACGAAAATGAAAAAATAAATACTGTTACATTCTATTTCTTAAATTTTTTGCTTTCTACGAATATATCATGCGCGAATACTAATATTTATTTTACGCTTGACACATGAATAATTTGCATATAATTCATGAATGAAATATGTATTAAATTATGAATTTTGCAGGCCACAAAATGTATAGATACATATTTGTATACATATATATATATATAATATATATATAACCTGAGGAATATGACGAATAATAGATAAACTATATGCAATTCATTAGCTTTAGATAAAAAATCGTAATATAGCGAAAATTGATTGTGAGTGCTCTCCTTGAGTGTCGATTACAGTAAACGTAGCTCATTTGTTTGTGCCTGAAAATTTTAAATTTCATTTATTTCTTTTACGAACAAATTTTAGAAATAAATTTGGCTCACAATGAAATTAAATGTTCGTTTGGAATAATTACCCTTCGCGTTTGATCATCTTGTCTTTCTCGAAATGCCGAATCATCGTTATGAAGCCAATCCTGCAGTCTTTCGGAAATTCTTTCCGGTGCTACATTTCGATCATGATTTTTTCCTTGTTGCTCGAGTACATATTCAAATTCGCTCTTCAGCCTTGAGTCGCCAGTTTTAGACATGTTTCCGCCGTAAAGGGGTAACGATCTTTTTCCAATCGTCTCCAAAAGACGACGATTGGCGTCGATTTGCGCTTGATCCTGTAACGCTTTACGTCTAGCAAGTTCAAGAAGAACTCTTTGCCGTAACACATCCATAGAATTCACAATCGACAACGATCCAATACGTTTTGATTCAAGACGTTTCGTTCGGACTACTGTTGATCCTGGATCGTTTCCCGAGTCGAACATTTCATTCTGAAAAATTATAAAATTTAGTTATTAATATTCCAATACTAATTTTTCTCAAAATGTAGTTTTGCAACATCCAGTTGCAATTTAATCGGACCAATTGTACACTATGCAAGAAACGAATATATTTTTTACAAATCACTTGATTTTTACTTTTGTTGAGAAATGAAACTGAAATAACAATTGTAATATTTCTTCAATGAAAAAAAGTATTTAGATACTAAAAATTAAAAATTAAAAAAATAAAATGGCATTTCCATCTTGTTTGTAGAATCCGCGTGGGTTAGAAACTCAAAGGATCAATCGTGTTAGTAACAATAACAATAACCTACAATTTTGGTGAAGAATATAAATTATATATAAGTCATAAATAATTTAGAGTTGTTGATTGGTATTGCTGTTAATAGTTTCACGTCTAAATATATTGCTAAAAGATTCATCTACGATTCAATCGTAGAATAAATGACAAACAAATGAAAAATATCTTTTCATTCATGCCCAACGAAAATTTTAAAACAATTATATTTCAGTTTCGAAAGAATTGAGCACAATGTCGTAATAATAGAATGTGAAGATTTTTTTTATGAATATTAAAACACTTCACAAAGAATGTACGTGGACATTTGACGCGAAAGATGGAACAATTACATCGCCATAGTACCATGCTTTTCAGTAAAGAACAGAATTTGATTATCGTGGACGATATTACGGCTGAAGTGGCGGGAAAAAAAAAACATTATGAATTAGAATTAAAGTGGATCGACGATTGCGTATGCATATATGTGAAACAAGAAGAAAAAAAAGAAGAAATCAACGCAACGTTGCGCAGTTTTCTCTAGCCTACTACCACACGCAATATTTCTCTAGTTTTATTGCCAGTTTTATGGAACACACTCGCTCAAGAATATGAATAAAAAGGGGCGCGTACTAAAAGAGTAAGCTACGTAAGTACACACTTACGCGCATGGTTAACACAAAACGCTCTGCGTTCACTCATACTTCAAATTTCACATGTTTTCTCGCTTTTCACCTTAATTTACATTCCATTATAAAAGATATATGTTGATAAATTTTATAATCACGCGAGTGTTCATTTTTTTTCAAATAAAAAGAGCTCAAAAATAATTCTGATTCCGTAAAAATTAGATCTCCCTCTCCCTCTCCCTCTCTCTC